GTTTATCTAGTAAACATGTTGGATAAAGCATAACAATCAGGGAAGTTGGAATAGGGGTAGGGTCTGCGTACCCCCTCCCTGTTTTACCATTTCCTCATACATAAAACTAAAGCTTCTGGCGAAGGCGGTCCCTTTTTCTCCCCCTGCTTCATGACCCTGGATGCCACGTTGTTGTTGTTGTTGTTGGTTCCTCAGATTCAGGCCTGTGTGAACTGGAACGTTTTTTGTTGTTGTGGGTCCCTCAGAAGCTGGAACGTGTTGTTGTTGTTGTTGTTGTTGTTGTTGTTGTTGTTGTTGTTGTTGTTGTTGATTCCTCAGATCCAGGCCTGTGTGAACTTGCGAGCGAAGAAGAAGGCGGAGAAGGTGGCGTTCAAGGACGTTGTGGGCTGCGACGAGGCCAAGGGGGAGATCAAGCAGGTACGCCACCGTGCGTGGTGGCGCGAGAAAGATGGTAGAAAAAAGATCTTGTCTAGTGATGGTGACAGCGGGAAAATCGTTTCTTACTGGTTGTTGCAGAAGTATCGTGTTTGTGGTTGTCCAGGAAGATTGTGGCTAATAGCCACGGTGGAAGATCGTAGGGGTTGTCGCAGAAATGTTGTATTAATAGTGGTTTTTAGCAGGAGATCGTGCCTGTGAGTGACGGTAGAAGCCCGGAAGGATCGCAGAAGCATCGTTATGGTGTTGCGGAAGGTCGTATCATCGTGGTTATCGCAGAGGATCGTATGTAAATGACGGTAGAAATCGTAAGGATCGCAATTATCAAATACCGTGATGGCGGAAGATCGGAAAGATCGCAGAAGCATCGTTATCGCGTTGCGGAAGATCATATCTAATGGCGGCAGAATGTCGTAAGGATCGCAAAATATCTTGGTGGCGGAAGATCGTACGGAGTGCAGAAAGGTCACTATGGTGGTGGCACAACATCGTACCCAATGACGGTAGAGGACCGCAAGGATCCCAGAAGGTCGTATTCATGGCAGAAGATGTTGATGATTGCAGGGAACGCTTTCCGCAGCCCACCTTTTTGTGAACATCCCTTCTTTCGTTCCTGCGCCCCCCCGGTGTCGTGCGCCCAGATCGTTGATTTCCTGGTGGATCCGTCGGCGTACGACAGCCTTGGTGCCTCTAGACCCAAGGGAATCCTGTTGGTGGGGCCCCCTGGCACAGGTTAGTAAACGTGCTGGGAAAAGCATGCAATCGGAGAAGTTTGGGTTAGGGTGAGGTATAGGATCTTCCTACCCCTCCCTGTTCTATTCAAGGGGTTCCATATAACCTACCATACCAATATGGAATGTCTAGAGTTTACTCTACCCATAATATATCCTGCTTCTATACTATTAGCGCCTAGGCCAAACTGGCTTAAGCACCCGAAAGAAAGGGGGGGGGGGAGGGGGGTAGCAGCGCATCAACCCTTGCGTTTGACGAGCCCCCTTGTTCCACTTCCTCGTTTAGCTTGATTTATCGCGAAGGTGGTCGCACAGGTATGCTTGTGTCCCTGTGTTAATTAATTACCCAAATAGACCAGGGAGGGGGCACGAAGACCCCAGCCTAACCCTTACCCCAAATTAGCCGATTCCATACTTTATCCAGTATGCTTGCTCACTAAGAAAAACTTGCGTAGACTAGTGGCTCTTGATGGCCGGCGAATCCCTCAACTGACTCTGTTTTTTTTTAGACTGCTTCGACAAGAAGGGTGCGGACAGGTGTTTTTGAGGTCTAGACTCGTTCAATCTGGCGCACATGGAAATCATGGGGAACAGCAGTTGTTCTTGAGATGTTTTGCAAAATCGAGATGTGAGATTTTCGATTTTTCGAACGGGAGCGAAGAGCGAAGGCCTTGTTGGTACCAAAATGTTATTTGCCTCAAGGTAAAAAAAAGGTGGCGGCTGAAAGTTTGTCGCGCGGTTCAACTTGTATGCTTTCTTCTTGAGGCACTAAAAAAATCGTGATTTCAATTACGTTCTACTCGAACTGCCCCATGTCTGCTGCGGGCGGAAATTGTGCTTCTTTCTTGTCCAAACACGTTGTGAGGTGTTGTTGTCCCCCCTCCCCATAGTTTTCGCTTCATGAGCATTGAAGAGCACCACGTTGTTGGTGACTTTATTCAGGATTTCGATTGTGTTTGCCGTCATTTTTTTGTTGTGCAGGCAAAATGAAAAGAAGAAACTCTGATTGGAATTAATTCAAGACTACGATTTTCTCGGGATTTTTTGGGTCGTTTTCTTCGTTCGTTGTTGTGCAGGCAAAACTCTGATTGCCAAGGCATGCGCTGGAGAGGCGGGCGTCCCGTTCCTCTACGCTTGCGGGTCCGAGTTCAACGGAGTGTGAGTTGGCTCCTACCATACCATACTTGATGCTCTGGATACATTCGACTTGAACGGCGCAAGCAAGACTTTGCTCGTACCGTACCGTACCGTACTTGATGTTACGGTCACGGTCAACTTGAACGGCATGCGACTTTTCTCGTACTACACTTTATGTTTTGGGAACAGGCGACATCAGCGGTGATTTTGCTGTATGCCGTACCATGCTTGATCTTAAACGCAAAGGGACCCGGCGGCTTTCGGCGTCCAGATCTATTCCGAGCTACACGTGGTTTCTTTGTCGCGGGGGTATAGACGTTGGGCGACTTTCTTCCGTGTTTATTAACCCTCTGCGCCCCTACTTTATCCATTCCCGCTTTACCCAGTCTCTCTTATCTGTTTCGGCTCTCGCGTGTCGAAGAAACATGTTTTCAGCGCAAAATCCCCGAACGAAGCGCGAAGAACACACAGTAGGTTGCGTAAGCTACCCGCTGGACCGAATTATACACCACGACGAAGAGGATGCCGAAATCAAATCATACATTATTGTGGCGCAGCTATGTCGGCATGGGAGTTGCAGCCGTCAAGAGGCTTTTCGCGAAGGCCAGGAAGCACAAGAAGAGCATCATCTACATCGACGAGATCGACCACCTGGGACGTGCCAGGGGGTGAGCAATTGTCAGTACTTGGCGCTTTTTGCGCATTTTCGTTTTGTTTTTTTTGAAATGCAAAACTCACCAGAACCTCTCATTTCGGCGTGGCTTAGGTTACCGTACCCCCACGGCGACTTGATAGATTTTTAGTGTGACTATATAGGTTTTAGAGTAGCCTTCTTGACTGAGCACCTGTTCTTCTGGCCGAGTTGGTAGTTTTTTTTTTTTTGTTCGTTCTAGAAAGGTGCATCCCTCTTGGGGTACTTGGCTTCAGAAGAGTCGAGAACTTCTGCAGCAGTATGTCAAACAGAGCCGTGAGCTGGAACGTCTTGATAACGCACGAGGTGTGCAGGACGGGTCTACTCACCATCAGAACTGCGTACAGCAGTTGTGGCTCCGATAGAAGAGGGTCCAAATCGGTTGTCACGGACTACTCGACCCGCTAGTAGTATATAGGCAGGTACCCTCTTATTCCGGTATGAGAGGGGGCTCCGAAGAGGGTCGAGGGCCTTTTTTACTCTTTTAGAAAGTAATACATAACCTCACAGAAAGACCATCCGTTCGAGATAATACCGCAGTCGAAGGGGACGTATTGTAGTCTTAACAGTGAGTGGTGGGATGAAGAAACCTTTGTCACCCCACGCTCTGATAATGGGAGCCACGACTGTCCCGCACTCATTCATTTGCCCACACGGTCACCTCTACCCCCCCCCCCCCCTGGCCGTGGACGGCAACAGCGGGTCGAGAGACGCGGGGAGCGCGACGCAGGATCGAGAGGCCACCCTGAACCAGCTGCTCAGCGAGATGGACGGGTTCGAGGGAAAGGACGGGATCGTCGTGATGGCCTCCACAAACCGGAAGGTGAACAGCCAACCAAAACCTTGCCCCTGGTGTTGCGGTTCGCGCCCGCATTTTTAGAACTTCTGGTTTTGGCGTAGGCTAGGGTTCTTAGTTATGGCCCAATACAGTATGCGCCCGCACTTGAGAACCTCTAGTTTTGGCCGAGGCTGGGGTTCTTATGACCCTGGTTTTACGGTTCGCGCCCGCATTTTAAGAACGTCTAGTTTTGGCCCGAGGCTAGGGTTCTCATTTATGGCCGATACAGAACCCGCCCGCACTTAAGAACCTCTTTTTTTGGCCCGAGGCTGGGGTTCTTATGACCCTGGTGTTCCGGTTCGCGCCCGCATTTTGAGAACCTCTAGTTTTGGCCGAGGCTGGGGTTCTTGTGTAGTTCCAAGGGCTATGTGACGAATGTCCGCTCTCTAGGTGTTGGTGTGGGGTTCTTAATCGAGCTTACAACTGGAACTCAAGTTCGTAGCCTTAGGTCTTGAGTTTTTCGAGGCTGAATTCCATTTCTTGACTGCCATCTTCTGAAGCCCTTCTCCCGCTCATCTTCCCTCTCTCGCTCTTGTGTGCTCTTTTTCCAGGACATGTTGGATGACGCTTTGCTCCGATCAGGACGCTTCGACATGCAGGTATGCGCGATAAGTGCCGCATATCACGGTGCCCCGCCACTAGACCCTTTTTTTTTGCGTGTGTCATAACAAGCGTTACTTGTACCGCCTACCACCAGCACCAGGGGACCACACGCTGCTTTCCGTTTCTACTGTATCCCGCACACCGCCACCACATGTGGACCCAGTGTCACAACCAGCGTTCTATCTCCTTTTTAATCACCCCCCGCCCCCTTGGTGGAAAGGACGGTAGCTGTATTGGGGAGCAGGAAGTGGTTTGAAAAGGCGGGGAAGGGATATCGTGAGGATAAACAGACTAGGGAAGACATTTTTGAGCCACCTTTGGCAAAGTAGGAAGGAACGACTGGCCATCGGTGATCGGTCCTGTGGGAATAATGCTCCGTCCTCTCGAGGACGCGTGGTCAACGGTCTAACTTCTACGGCATGCAAAACATAAGAGTACGCCCCCCGCCCCCTTGGATAGATGGACTAGGGAAGACATTTTTTAGCCACCTCTGGCAAGTAGGATGGAAAAATTGGCCGTCGGTGATCGATCCTGTGGGAATAATGCTCCGTCCTCTCGAGGACGCGTGGTCAAGGGTTTAACCGCTAGTGCATGCAAACCATGAGAGCCCCCCCCCCTCATGGATATTTTTGGCCACTGCGATGGCTGGCTACCGCGGTAGTAGTCCCTGCCCGCAATCCGAGGGATTGGGCAGACCTTTCGCCGGTCGCCTGGCATGTACGAGACTACTTGAATTTTCCATCTGTGTCACGCATTTGTCACCGACCTCGTACAAGGCGAGCGGCCTTGTATTTGCGGCCTTGTACAGGGATTCACTATAATTGTGCTGTGTTGTCGTTTGTGAGCTGATCTACCTGCGCCGCGCTCCTGACAATCGACGACCCCACCCATTAAAAGCGGCTCAGAAACAAGCAAGGATTACCGCCAGTGGATCATCCGTGGATAGGGATAGATTTGCTGTGTGATACCGAGAAAAATCAAGAAAAAAAAACATGGATGATTTTGGCCCCGGCATTATCTGCGCTTCTGCGAATGGCGGCTAGGTGGCGAAATGGGATCGTGCATGCTCAAGCGTGAACTTGAAACGTGTCGATTGAGAGCCCACAGACGTGCACGCGCGCGCCTGCCCGTCCATTGCGTGCGGTAGCTACCTCAAGCTTTGTTGTCGTATGTGGCATACATCGCCCGATCCCAACTTCTGCTGCGTCGGGACACTACACGCGCACTGTCTTTTAAACCCGCCGAGTGTTGATTTTGCTATCGCGCCCTTGGCATTGGCAATGCAAGGCATCGTCTGTGTTTGTAACCCGCCTGTTGACGATTGCTGCTGCTGCTGTGTCCTTGTGCAAGGTGGACGTGGACCGGCCAGACCGAAAAGGCCGCGAGCAGCTATTTTCCAAGTACCTCGCCCCCCTCAAGGTCAGAAAGTGCTGCTGCCGAACGGTTAATGCGCTTTGAGATCGTCTTCGTCGTTGTCGTTGTTGTTGTCGGGTCTTATGTGTTTCGCGGGGCGCCAATATTCCAAACCACAACAGCAGCGTTCGCAGCTTATAGAAGCCTAGGCAAACTTCTGCTGCTGCAGAACGGTGAAATGTTGCTGATTTGGTCGTCATTGTTGTCGGGCCTATATATTTCGCGGGGCGCCGGTGTTCCAAACCACAAACAAGCCTTCGCAGCTTGTAAAACCCTGTAGGCTTCTCCCGCTATTCGGCCATCGCTCGAAGCGCTGTCGGTCTTCTCGTTTGTCTGCTAGCAGTTTTTAATTTCCAGCAACTGCAGTCGTCCCTCGGTTAAAGACGCACACGGTTTTTCGAAAACAACAACAGGTGTCCTTAAGCCGGGGAAGCCCCCTTACCATCGATACCCCTCCTTGGTCATCGTGCGAGGCACCATTGTTTGTTGCCTTTACCCGTCAAAACCATTTTGGTTGGTCTCCGCTCAGTACCTTCTACTACAATCCGTGCTGGTCCAACCAACGCAGACGCGTATCCGTGCTGGTCCAACTAACGCAGACGCCTTCCGTGGTCACAAGCCAACTACACCCCAGAAGGGATACACCCCTTTGGACAGTGGTATTGCTCAAATTTATTGTCCCTGTGCACACAATTTGAATTTATATCTCCTGCACCCGGCTGATTCACAGAACGTGCTTATTTTGAATGAAAGCTGCTTCCAAGAGCTTTCGAATGAACCTAGATACACCCGTTTCTACTGTAGAATGGAAAAGCACGACTGTGAAAATATAGGCTTCGTTATCCGGGGGAGGTGGTTGTGTCCTTAATAATGGTGTCCTTACCTGAGGGACGACTGTACAAACTCTTTTCCTGTTCGCAGCTCTCTGATGAACAACGCGAAGGAGGGGTGGAGGCGTCACCCGACAGCAGCAACAGCAGCAACGGGGTCTTTCGTGGCGGAAGGGGGAGGCGTTATTTTGGTGGGGGCGCGGCGGCGGCGGCGGCGGCGGCCGAGAGGGAGAAGCAGGAGACCATCAAGAAGCAAGGCCTTCAGGATGACATCGCGAAAGAGCTGGCGGATGTGAGATTTTGTATTTTATTCTTTTTTTCTTCTTCATGTAACACAGCACATCCATCTCTATCCATAGACTGTGAAGGATAAATTTGTCATGAGTTTTTAGCGTCAGCGGAGCTACCTGTGTTTCTACTATTCCCCCAGCAGCTATTGTTGTTGCTGTCGGCTATACTTCGTGCTGTCGCTTCAAATAACATGACCGGACTCTTCCCGCCATGGCAGTGGACGTGGCGACTAGCAAACACGACCAAGAATCCAGACTTGAACAACAAGTGACAAGCACGTGTTTTGTTACAAACTTACGTTCCATTCGCATGATTGACTGAAATGTAACACAGTGACAGGCGCAAACAGAATTAAGTAACAACCTGTCCGCTGATTTTTTAAGAAACAGGCCTCAGTAAAGCAAATGTGTGCCGCCGTACAATACCCACCGCGAGCCGAAAACATGCATCATGCCATGCGCGGGTGGAGAGCTGAGCATCTCCTTTGTGTGCTGATCTAATCGCACCAGATGACCCCCTTCGTGACAGGCGCGATTAAAAAAATTGTAGCAGCAAATGTTTTACGCTGATGTTATGTGCTGATCTGATCTCCACAGATGACCCACTCCAGGTTGTTGTTGTCGTTGTCGTTGTCGTTGTTGTTATCGTTGTGACATTGTTATCGTTGTGGTGTTGTTGTCGTTGTCGTCGTCGTTGTCTTGACATTAAATATTACATACCGTTCCGGTCTCCGCTAAGTACCTTCTGTTATCCGTACTGATCCAACTGACGCAGACGCCTTGTGTGGTCACCGAGGGTACACCTTTGCGAGAATTAAAACGCAAGCAACATGTGTTTCCGCTGTTGTGTGCTGATCAGATGACCCCCTACATGACCGGAGCGGACGTGGCGAACGTTTGCGCGACTGCCGGGAGGATCGCTGCGAGGAGCGGGTCGGATGCGGTCGAATTGGAGCACTTCAGCGCCGCGGTAGACCGGGTCCAGCATGGCCTAGAAAAGCCTGACAGGGTGAGTGAGGATGATCGGCGCGATGATAGCGAGACGACTGCTGGCTGGGTTTGGACTGGACTATACGATAGTGAGACGAGTGTTTACTTGATTTGGACCGGATGGAGACGGTAGCGAGACGACTGCTGGCTGGGTTTGGACTGGACTATACGATAGTGAGACGAGTGTTTACTTGATTTGGACCGGATGGAGACGGTAGCGAGACGACTGCTGGCTGGGTTTGGACTGGACTATACGATAGTGAGACGAGTGTTTACTTGATTTGGACCGGATGGAGACGGTAGCGAGACGACTGCTGGCTGGGTTTGGACTGGACTATACGATAGTGAGACGAGTGTTTACTTGATTTGGACCGGATGGAGGCGCTAGCAAGACGAGGGTTGGCCTGGTTTGGACTTTTTTCGATTTTGGTAACGATAGCGATGAGTGTTGGCTTGGTTTAGACTTGATTGGATCTTGGTTACGATAGCGATGAACGTTGGCTTGGTTCGTACTAGATTGAATGCTGGTTTAGCTTCTTTGTTCTGTGCATCTGGGTGGTGTATAAGAAGGTGGACTTCTTTGTGTGTTTTATCTGTCCCTGCGTCCGGCCATGCGCCGTGTATGTGGTTTTTTCTCCTCTCCTGAAATTTGTTACGTATGTAAGATTTGTGTGTGTCCGGTGTATTCTAGCGCCAGTCTACACACCGTTCAACTGTGTATTTGTTAACATGTGAGTCGGAGGGTACACCGGAGGAAGGTTACACTTCTATTTTCATTTTTTGTATTTATGTGGTTGATGACAAGTCTCACATAAAAATAGGCATACGCACGCATGACCTTGTGTCTCATTTTTCTTTGGCTCTCAGGAAGGTCCGTATCGAAGCGTTGTGCCGAAATGAAGGCAATCCTACGTATATTTGATATTGTTCCTTTGGTTTTTGCCACGAAGTGCGGAACAAAAAGATACATCGTACTTGTAAGTTTCGAACCTTTTTTTGCCCCTTGGTCCTCAGGAAGTCCCGAACGGAAGCGCCACATACCGTAGGCTGCATATAACGTATCACACCCCCTCGACCGAGTTTCAAAGCTTGATTACTCGGCAGGGAAAGCAGTTGAAGGTGCCGAAAATCGCGGAGTTGGAACGTCGCGTCGAGAGCTTTCCGAAAACGTATCGTTTGCCTCCGGCACCCTCTTGGTCGTGGAGTAATCGAGCTTTGAAAATCGGTGCAGGGGGTGTAGTATCTCATGCAACCTACGGTACATGAGTGCGCTTACGTGTTGTACCTTATTTTTCCCTTGGTCCTCAGGAAGTTCCGACAAGAGGACATACTACCGCATACAATTTGCACCTTTTTTTGTTCCCTTGATTCACGTACATGCGCGCATTTTTGTACCTTGTTCGTTCCCTTGACTCTCTCAGGAAGTGACGGAGGATGAAAAAAAGCGTACGGCTATCCACGAGGCCGGTCACGCCGTTGCTGGCTGGATGCTTCCGTGGTGCGATGAGGTCGTCAAGGTCTCCATTGTCTGGCGAGGGAACGCTCTAGGCGAGCGTGTGTGTCTGCTTTATTGTTTTCGACGAGAACCATTTTTTACTGCTGTGCAGGGGTTTCGCAGACTGCGGTGTTCGAGAGGCAGAGCGAGATACAAGGGAGATGGTCTAAACTAAACTGTAGAGGTTGTTATGCATGGACTGTTTTTTTTTTTTTTTTTCGAAACACAACGGTGTTTCTCGGTGTATGAACCGCTGGTGTGGTGTGTTCGTGTGCGCGCAGGGTTTTCGCAGACGGCGGTGGTGGAGAGGCAGAGCGAGATGCGGGAGATGGTGCTGGACAGCGTGTGCATGACCCTGGCGGGACGGGCGGCGGAGGAGGTGCTTTGCGGCACCATCAGCGGAGGAGCGTCGTCGGACCTGAGAATGGCGTCGCGACAGCTGTACTCCGCCATCACGGAGTGAGTTGACAAACGGGGTGGTGGTGATGGGCGGTGCGTGCTCTTTTAGCCAGCCTACGCTTCGCCCGTCCCCTCCTTTTCCTCCTTTCCAGCACACT